AGATGGAAACTAGAAACACAGGGAATCCAGGACAGATGATCCCTTCGGGACCAGTGGTGTGAGTGGCGATGCTAGGAGGGTGGAGGGAGGGTGGGTTGGAAGGGGGGAACCAATTGCAGAGATCTGCATGTGACCTCCTCCCTGGGGGATGTACAGTGGAGAGGTGGGTGAGGGGAGACGTGGGACAGGGCAGGATATGACAGAATAATGGTTTGTGAATTGTCGGGGGTTTGTGAGGGAGGGGGCAGCGGGGAGGGAGGGGAAAAAAATGAGGACCTGATGCCAGGGGCTTAGGTGGAGAGCAAATGTTTAGAGAGTGATGAGGGCAATGAATGTGCGGATGTGCTTTACAACATTAATGTATGTGTGCATTGTGATAAGAGTTTTATGAGCCCCTAATAAAATGATTAAGAAAAAACAAAGCGTAAATTCTCAATGGAAATCAAGACTTTGCAAACACACGTGACATCATAAAATATTATTAAAAAGTACTAGTGTTATCAAGTGGTACAAAGAGTATCTAAAAGTTAAAAAAGGTTCCATTTGGTAGGCATTATCAACCAAACAAAAAATCCCAATTATTTTATGCTTAAAATACCAGGATTTCTATTGAATTCTAAACACATTATATATTATGGAGAACAACAGTAAAAATAACCTCCATGTCTTTGTCATGCAGGTTCAACAGTCAAAAGGATTCTTTTTTGACTCTACCACCAGTGTCTGTAAAATAGAGCCAACCTCACACCTATCATTCCAACCATAAATATTTCCAGAACCTATTTCATGTGCATATTTATAAGAAAGTAAATATGTTTTGGAACTGATTGTTGTAGCAATTGCACAAGTATGCGTGATCTACTTGAATCATGGAATGTTATGACATCTTTGGCTCTTCCCTTTGGTTTGTCAGTATTCAGTGCAATGAAATCATGACTCAGCAACTTCTGAGGCGACTAACGGGATACATTTTTAAAGTATCCATGAAATGCATGTTTTTATGTATTTTACATATTTCAATCTATTGTGGTCATTATTATTTTTGATGCTCCAATTATCCCATCTTTGGTCAACAGGAGCCCCTTAAAAATTGGCTGCTGTGCCATCGTCATATACCACCATACTTTTGGAGTTGCCTCTCATTCTGGGTACAGGAGGAACTAATTACGACTGGATTATCAGTTTGTAGGTTTTTTTGTGTCCAGAGTCAAGAGTTTTTGTAAAATAAATTCAAGATTGATACTTAAAATCAAAAATAAAAATTCTAGTTTTAAGTAAATCTTTTATGTTTCTTTTTTTAAAGTTGAAAATCTTTTTAAAAAAAATCTTGTCTCTTAATGACAATACATGACTAATGATTTGCATTATCTTATATTGTTATTGTTAACAAGAAGATACAGAAAACAGGTAAGAGCGGTTGATTTCCCCCCCTTAAGATATATCCCAAAATATATTGAAAGCTAATATTTCAAAGTTACTTGAAAAGAATTCTCCTAGAATGTTTATACTACCCACTTAAAAGGTAGCTCATTTCTGTTTCAGTTTCTTCTTAAATTGTTCTCACTGCCAGTGAGACAAGACTGACTCATAATGACGCTATAGGACAGAGCAGAATTGCCCCAGTGAGTTTCTGAGACTTTAACTGTTAACTGTTGATGGGAGTAGGAAGTCCTGTCTTTCGCAGCCAAACTCATAACCACTACACCACTTATGTAAAGTATTTATATGGTTCCAAAAGCAGAGCTATAAAACAAAATAAGCTCAGAGAACTACCTTCCATCCTTGTTCCCTGTGCCTAAATCTCTCACATCCCTTTGTTGTTAGATGCCATCGAGTCAGCTCTGATCCATAGCCACCCGATGCACAACAAAATGAAAACAATGCATGGTCCTTCCCCGTCCTCACAATTGTTTCTATGCCTGAACCCACTGATGCAGCCACTGTGTCAATCCATCTCATTCAGGGCCTTCCTTGATTTTGTGGCCCTTTATCAAACATGAAGGCCTTCTCCAGGGACTTGTCTCTCCTGACAAGGAAGTATGTAAGACGAAGGTTTGCCATCCTTGCCAGGAGCACTCTGGCCTTACTTCTTCCAATACAGATCGGTTTGTCCTAACAGTTCATGGTACTTCCAGTATTCTTCTCCAGCACCACAATTCAAAGGCATCTAATCTTCTACAGTCTTCCCTATTCAATGTCCAACTTTCACATGTATATTATACAATGGAGAATACCCTAGAAGTCTCTATATAGCACACTCTCTCCAGATATATACACACAATTCAGATTTGTAGTTTACTTTTCTGGGTTTTCTCATTTGTTTTTTAGAAATAAGCAAATACATAACTGTGTATGTCTTAGAGAGATTTCCTAAAAATTAATTTTTACTCTAAAGGTCTTTAGTACAAAACAAATAGAAAGACAATAAATTTCTTTTAAGAAATACTTAAGATATGAAGTTTTTGTTGGGTAAAAGTTTCCTATTTTTTCTTGCTAAAAATCTCCAATGCCTTTAAAATTGCACCCAAATCCACTAAGTGGTGGTGAGACAAGTCCATCATAGATAAAAAGTCTGTAAGATTACTAGTAGGAGAAGTAGAGATGAACTTTTTACCTACCACTGTCATTCACTCTGAGCTATTGTACATATATAAAGTTAAAGGCAGCTACCAGAAAATAGTAAATACTGTTAGGTGTTAGAAATGTCAAAATCTTAAGTAAGTGTGGTGAAGAAGGCTGATGGTGCCCAGCTATCGAGAGATATAGCGTCTGGGGTCTTAAAGGCTTGAAAGTAAACAAGCGGCCATCTAGCTCAGAAGCAACAAAGCCCACATGGAAGAAGCACACCAGCCAGTGCGATCACATGGTGTCAAAAGAATCAGGTATCAGCATCATCAGAACAAAAAAATCTTACCACAGTGAATGAGTGGGGGAGTGCAGAGTGGAGACCCAAAGCCCACTTGTAGGCCACTGGACATCCCCTTACAGAAGGGTTTCGGGGAGGAGACGAGCCAGTCTAGGTGTGATGTAGCAACGATGAAAAATACAACTTTCCTCTAGTTCTTAAATGCTATCATGATCCCAATTCTATCTTGCAGGTCTGGCTAGACCAGAGGATGTACACTGGTACAGATAGGAACTGGAAACACAGGGAATCTAGGGAGGATAATCCCTTCAGGACCAGTGGTTGTGAGTGGCGATACTGGGAGGGTAGAGGGAGAGTGAGTTGGAAAGGGGGAACCGATTACAAGGATCTACATGTGACCTCCTCCCCCCTGGGGTAGGGATAACAGAAAAGTGGGTGAAGAGAGATGTTGGACAGGGCAAGATATGACAAAATAATAATTTGTAAATTATCAAGGGTTCACGAGGGAGGGGGAAGCTGGGAGAGAGGGGAAAAATGAGGACCTGATGCGGGGGGCTTAAGTGGAGAGCAAATATTTTGAGAATGATGAAGGCAAAGAATGTACAAATGTGCTTTATACAATTGATGTATGTATGGATTGTGATAAGAGTTGTATGAGCCCCTAATAAAACGATTAAAAAAATTATCAAGGGTTCATAAGAGAGGGGTGGGAAGAAAAGAAAAATGAGGAGCTGATTCCAGGAGCCGAACCAGAAAGCCAGTGTTTTGAGAATGATGAGGGCAACAAATGTATAAGTATGCTTTACACAATTGATGTATGTACAGATTGTGATGAGTTGTATGAGCCCCAATAAAATGATTATAAAAAAGAAATGTTAAAACCTATTAATCATACTACATCCTAAACATAATACAATAATGGCACACAAATATTAGTTACTCCAAATTAATTAAGTTCAGGTCTGGTACAGTGAAAACAAACTGGAACTAACGATAATCGGATTCTTCTTGGGGCATCAGTGTGCTAGAAAATGCTCCCTTAGGTAAGCAACTTATTGTGGAGGGATGGCAGTTTACTTGTCTTTACAATGAAGAAGCTAAGCTACTGTTAGAATCTTAAACTAGTCATGTCTTAAGAGAGTGCTTTAAGAGCTGACAATGTTTAAAGGATACTTAAGAATGTGAATGTAATCCCGCTAGATCAGGGGATGTACACTGGTACAGATAAGAGCTGGAAACACACGGAATCCTAGACAGATAACCCCCTCAGGACCAATAATGGCAGCAGCGCTACCAGGAGAGTAAGGGGAAGGTGGGGGGAGAAAGGGGGAACTGATCACAATGATGTACATGTAACCCCCTCCCTGGGGGACGGACAACAGGAAAGTGGGTGAAGGGAGACATAGGTCAGTCTAAGACGTGAAAAAATAATAATAATTTATAAATTATCAAGGTTTTGTGAGGGAAGGAGTGTAAAAAAAATGAGGAGCTGACATCAAAGGCTCTAATAGAAAGAAAATGTCTTGAAAATGATGATGGCAACATATATACAAATGTGTTTGGAATATGATTGGGGGAGAAAATGTGGTTTAACTCTGAATATTTCATTGGGATGCTACACAATGAATGTTGCTCTACAGCCCGTACATTTTTAGTTGATATTTAAAAAAATCATTTCATTGGGCGCTCTTACAGATGTCTTAACATTGCATAACAGTGCATGAATGTATGTATGGATTGTGATAAGAGCTTTACGAGAACCCAATAAATTAAAAAAAAGAATTTGAATGTAAAAATGTTTTTAATGTTCAAAGCATATTTATTTACTAAGTATCTTTGAAGCTGGCATTACATAAATTGATTTCAACAAATAAATTGTTAATGAAAAACTGGTATACAATGTACTACTTGTCTGTTAAATAAGCAGTATTTACAAGTTGAGGAACAAAGAGGTTTTTCATTAAATGTAGGGGCTTTACTGATACCAAGGGGCTCATGTAGAAAGAAAATGTTTTGAAAATGATGGCAGCATCTGTTTAAGTTTGCCTGATGTAACTGATTTATGGATTGTTATAATGTCTGTAATAGCCTCCAATAAAATGATCAATTAAAAAAAGTCAAGAAAGGGAATCTATTAAAATGAGAGGGAAATTATGTGAGTTTTTTAAAACTAATACAGTGACAAAGAAAGTAGGGAAGATATGGCAATCAATCAATCAATCAATAAGGGTTCCTGGGGAGAAAGGTGGGAGAGGGAGGGGATAAAGAGGAACTGATATCAAAGAGTTCACAAGAAGAAAGAAAATGTTTTGAAACTGATTGTATTAGCAATTGTACAATTATGCTCGATTCATTTGAATTATGCAATGTTAAGACATCTGTAAGAGCTCTCAATAAAATTATTTTTTAAAATATCAACTAAAAATGTACGGGCTGTAGAGCAACATTCACTGTGTAGCATCCCAATGAAATATTCAGAGTTAAACCACATTTTCTCCCCAAATCATATTCCAAAATGTTAGTGTGCTTACTTGCTTGCTGAGTCTCGGCCTATCTAATCTTTTCAGCTTTGGTGCCTCTTCTCTTTTCCCCGAGATGGATTACATCTGGCCTGCCTATCTACCAAAATCTTCTGCCAATGCCTCTGGTCACAATCACCAAAAAGGACCTTCAGGTTCCAGTTGTGCTTTTTTATTTCTGGGTATGCATTCATTAATGCTTGAGCATCGTCAGGAGTCTTAAATCTTGCTTGCCTGGCATTCTGTATCTCCTTCTAGCACATCAACAAAACAACTTTTGAGATGGCTGCCAAAGTATACATGAGATCCACTGAGAAATTTCAAACTTTAGATTTTGCTTCAAGTTAAATCTGAGAGTCTTGAGCAGGGGTCCTCAAACAGGGACCACATGCAGCCCGCCGAGGATATTTATCTGGCCCATTGGGTGTTTTTGCCCCGTCTTGTTTTTTACTTCAAAATAAGATATGTGCAAACTATAGTCGGGCTCTCCAACGGGTCTGAGGGACAGTGAACTGGGCTCCTGTTTTAAAAGAGGACCCCTGATCTTGAGTATAAAATTTGAGAATGAATAGTACTTCCATAATATATTGGAGCTAAAATCAGATGGTCAAGATCTTAAGTTTGGGCATGCAGTCAACCTGCCCCATCATAGCTAGTCCCCACATTCACTCCTAGCCTGCCTCACTCTTTTGCCTTACCTGCCTGCCCTCGGAGTATTTAAGTTCTCATCAAGAGTCAAATCTTCTGTAAACAAGATATGAAAAGTGTTGTTTCAGAACACTTCACCCCCCATGTAGTAGCTACATAATCCGGTGTCAATTTGGACTTGAGAGGATTAAGAGCGAAGAGGTGGAGTTTAGTCTGTCAATCGGGTCATAGCCAACGATGCCTCTGTGTAGGCATGGCATTCTCCTGAGAATTCTGGGAACTTTTTTTCCTCCTTGGAGGCAGAAGACACTTGTCTCTCTCTCTGCTCACTCGCTTGGAGACTCTCTACTGACAAGACACATGGCACTATGCTGATAGACCCCTTGCCCTGGGAACTGAAGGAGCCACGTGGAGACCCCTGCCAGCGCTGAGATGCTTACAATGCCACTGGATCCAAAGACTTTCTACCCACTGGCCTGTGATCGTCCTGAATTCTGTTTCATTGCATGTGTTTCATGAGTCTGAAGAGGACATTATAGATTGGTATCAGACATATAAGCTAATATCAGACTTATGGGCTTGGACTGGATGAGTTTCTTACTGTACAATTACCCTTTATATAAAACTTTATCTTATATACAGATGAGTTTCTATGGATTTGTTTCTCTAGTCTACCTAGACTAACACACCCCAGAATAGGTTTGCTTTTTACTTTTTGTACAATAGGAAGACCTGAGAATGCTGGAACCTATTTAAAATAGAAACAAACCAACCAGAGAAGGAAAATACAAACATTTTCCACTAAAACGAGCAATAGAAAAATGGTAGATGGCTGAAAACTTTGCAAGACCTTGAAAAACAAGGGAGTCTGGTTGAGTTTCAGCTTACAGGTTTTCCTGTACCTACCAGGATTCTACTACCAAACACTCATGGGGACCCTGTCTAGGACAGAGCAGAATGGTTTCCAAGGTGATAAATCCTTACAGAGGCAGAAAACCACATTTTCCTCTCATGGAGTCCCTAATATATTCAAAATGTTTATCTTTCAGTTTTCAATCAAGCACTTAACCACTGTGCCACTAGGGACTTGGGACCAACTCAGTGTCAAAGGGTATAAGTGCTTCCAAAAACCAAAATCACTACTTTTTAAAGTTTCTTTCACCAAAGTTTTCTCTCTCAAGCATTATGAAATACAGCTGAGAATATAGAAAGAAAGGCTGAATGCCAATGAGCTAGTTTTACCTGTGAATTTGATCTTGCCTGCTGGATCGTACTGGAGCCAGGCCATCAATTTCATCAAAGAAAATAATGGATGGGCGCATCTGATAGGCCTAGAAAGTAGGTCCATCAGTCCATGTTACCACAAATGGTCTCAATGACATCAATTTAACAGAAGAGTTTTAAGGATTCAGATTAAATTATTATAGTATATAGTTTTATACTACTTGGTTTTCAATGGGAAATATTCAGTTAATTTAAGATGGTTATATTGCTACAGTTATTGCTCACACAAGAAATCTCTTTTAATGACCAATTTATAAAACAAGGCAAAGAAAGGCGATGTGAGATTCTTGCTTGTGTCTGGATAAGAAAGCATCACTGAGCAAGATTCCAGTTTTATCTACTTTTGTATAATTACAATTAAGAAGTTCCAACAAGGGATTAAAAACATCTGCAGCAGCAGATCTCTGTCCACCAGAATGCAGTCTCTGACCATGTGCTGTCCCTGTGACCTGGGATATGCAATGGAAAGCCATTCAAGGCAGTCCTGTTTTTCAGCTACTGGGCAGAGACATAATACAATGCACTACACGGTCTCTTTAAATGTGACACCACTCAAAAAAAAAAAATGTGACACCACTCTCCAGGCATGAGACAGACACCAAAGAATTCAATTCAACTATTTCTTTTTAAATTTTACTATAAAGTTTTTCATTAGAGTTCAGTGTTCTCCAGATATAGCAAGAAAAAAGCTTTACAGTTTGCCCAATTCTTTAGAATCTGTATGAAAAAAGATTAAATAAAATATTTCTCTAATCTTTAAACTCGCGTCAACATAGATTATGGAATTCCCCATCGAGATACATGTGAATATCATACCTGGTCAAACAGCAAGCGGAGCTGTCTTTCGGATTCCCCTACCCATTTGCTCAGACAGTCAGCCCCTTTCCTCATGAAAAATGCCACTCTCTTACTCCCCTGGCTGCATTCATTGGCAAGTGCTCTAGCAACCAGAGTTTTCCCAGTTCCAGGAGGACCATAAAACAAACAACCTCTGTGAAAGAATACACAATCTTTTAGTACTACAATAAAAAGTTTATTTATAGACAAAATTTTAAATCAAATGGGGAACCACTTTTACAAATTCACTTAGTGAAAAGTAAAAAGAAAGCAACTGAAGCAGTTTCAATCCATAAAACATGAGCATTCATATTGAAGCTGTAAATAAAACCTTTTAGTTGGAACAGATTTTCTTATATTTGTTCATCATGTTCTTATACTGTCTGAATAGAAATCATGCTTAAAAACACTTGATAGTTTAATTTAAAACAGACATCATGGGAAAGTACAGCAAATTTCATCTAGAACAGTGGTTCTCAACCTTCCTAATGCTACGACCCTTTAATACAGTTCCTCATGTTGTGGTGATCCCCAACCATCGGAAATATGTTTTCCAATGGTCTTAGGCGACCCCTGTGAAAAGGTCGTTCAACCCTCAAAGGGGTCGTGACCCACAGGTTGTCATTTCATCCCCAAAGGGGTCGCAACCCACAGGTTGAGAACCGCTGATCTAGAAGCTTCAGGGTCAGTGACAGGACCATCAAGAGTTTAATAAGAAAACATACTAAAAATGAAGAGGGGCAATTCTATCTTAGAAATCGGATTAGAATAGAACATGCACACTGCTACAACACAAGGAATCCAGGATAGATAAACCCCTCAGGGGCAACAATGAGGGGTAGAGATACTAGTAGGATTAGGGCATAGGGGGGTGGGGGGTGGAGAAAGGATAATTGATCACACGGATCAACCTAGAACCCCCTCCCAGGGGGAAGAATAATGGAAAAGTGGGTGAGGGCAACAGAGGACGATGTAAGATATGGAAATATTAATCTATAACTTATCAAGGGTTTGTGAGGGAGGGTTGGGGGGAGGAAGGGGGAAGAAATGGAGAGCTAATATCAGGGGCTCAAGTGGGAAGAGAATGCTTTGAAAGTGATGATGGCGGCATATGTGCAAATGTGCTTGACACACTGGATGAATGTATGGATTGTGATAAGAGATGTAAGAGCCCTCAATAAAAGTATTAAAAAAATGAAATGAAGAAGGGAAGAAAATAGTATAGGAGAGAAAATAAATAAAATAGAAAATTATGAAACATTGACATAATTAAATCCAGAAGGAAAAATGACAAAGAAGCCATTAAGAAAAAGAAACAATCAGACAAACAAGTGGAATAGGATGTATTTTTGGAAGCTTCCACAACTCAAAAAAAAGTTATAAAATATTTTTAAATGGGTAAAGGGCTTAAATAGGCTTTTCTCCCAAGAAGCCATACACATAGTCAATAAGCACAAGAAAAGATGGTCAAGAGTGTTAGTCAATAGAGAAATACGAATCAAAGTAACATCCAGCTCTCACTTCCTGCTCACTAGCATGGCTATCATTACAAAAATAAAAACAAGTTGGCAAGGCTATGGAGAACTGGCACCCTTATGATTTGTTGGGGGTTTGTGGAATAGTATGTGGAACCACAGTTTGGTGGTTCCTCAAATAGGTAAAGAATTACTGTGACCCAACAATTCTGCCCCTACCTAAGTACCCAAAGACTTAGAAGCAGAAACTCAAACAGACCCAGGTATGCTTTTGCTCACTGAAGCATTATTCACACTGGTCATGAGATGAAAACTACCCAGTGTCCATCAACAGATGAATGGATAAAACAAGCTGTGGTACATATGCATGATGGGATATTAGTAAGCCATAAAGCGAATGAAAATTCTAATATGCTCTGTGATGCATGGATGAACCTGAAAAGGTTATTGAATTAAGTAAAACACACACAACAAATATTGTAAGATCCTATTAATATGAAATACCTAGAATTGGAAAATGTACAGAAACAAGAGTTTGTCATTTTAAACCCACAATTCAGTGACATTAATTACATTCACCATGTTGGGCTACCATCATCATTATCCATTTCCACAAGTTTTACATCACAAGAATGTGTTTAACCAAGACACATCTATAAACCCAGATCACTTTAGGTAAATCTAGGAAGCAGATCTCATCAATTAGAAACCAATGCAGGAAAATCATCCCTACGATGATGGTGATGGAAAGGCCCTAAACCAGTGGCGCTCAACCTTCCTAGTGCCGCGACCCTTTAATACAGTTCCTCATGTTGTGGTGACCACCCACCCCCACCATAAAATTTTTTTGGTTGCTACTTCATACCTGTAATTTTGCTACTGTTATGAATTGGGAAACCCCTGTGAAAGGGTCATTCAACCCCCAAAGGGGTTGCGACCCACAGGTTGAGAACCGCTGCCCTAAACTGAACTCGTACACCTGATTAAGAATCACTAATTTAGAGTGAAGCAGGAGAATAAAGGCTCCAAGAAGGATCTGTCTAAAAGCAGATTACACAATAGGTTTGACTGAGAAGAGTTTGAGTTGAGGAAGACTTTGCCGATGAATTGATTATCCCCAAATCAATCCTGTTGCTGGTGAGTCAATTCCCATCATAACAACTCTGTAGGACAGAGCAGAACTGCCCAGTCGGGTTTCCAAGGCTGGAAAGAGGTTACCACAACTTTCTCTCAGGAAGCAGATAATGTGTTCAAACTGTCAACCTTTCAGTTAACAGAAGGGTGCTAACCACTATTCCACTAGGACTCCATTAGTTAATGATCACCAAAATAAAAAAAATCAAATCTACTGTTCATGAGTCAATTCTAACTCAATGACCTTACAGGGGCCTATAGGGTTCTTATAGAAGTGCTCCATAGGGTTCTTGACAATGTTAATTGTTAGGAGAGCAGACAGCTTCATCTTTCCCCCTCAAAACAGTTAGTGGGTTTAGGTTTGAACTGTTGACCTTGTGGCTAGCTAGCAGCTCAATGATCAACCTGCAGCACCACTAAAGCTCCTTGAATTGATGGTAAGCAACCACAAAACACACACACACACTATTCCAAGTGAACATTAAAGTTGTGGGAATGAGGAGTTGTAGAGGAAAGGAGAGGTACTGTACATGGCTCAGCTGTACACAAACCTGACATAGTCATAAGGCAAATACTGAAAGGCGATTCAACAATTTAAAAGGCATGGACAACAGACAAGAAGTAAAGAGAGACAACGGACAGTGCAAGACATGAAAAAATAACAATAATTTATAAATTATCAAGGGTTCATGAGGGAGAAAAGGAGGGATAGGGAGGGGGAAAAATGAGGAACTGATACCAAGGGCTCAAGTAGAAAGAAAATGCTTTGAAAACGATGATGACAACATATGTACAGATGTGCTTGAGACAATGGATGTATGCATGGATTGTGATAAGAGTTGTATGATCCTCCATGTCGGACAGTGTAAGACATGACAAAATAATAATTTATAAATTATCAAGGGCTCATGAGAGAGGGAAGGAGTGGGGAGGGAGGGAGAAAAATGAGGAGTTGATGCCAGGGGCTTAAGTGAAGAGCAAATGTTTTGAGAATGATGAGGGCAATGAATTTACAAATGTGCTTTACACAACTGATATATGTATGGATTGTGATAAGAGTTGTATAAGCCCCCAATAAAATGGCAAACAATAAGACTTAAAAATATATATATATAACTACTGGGAGCCGATGAAGCAAGCAAAGAATGTACGTATGTGGGGGGTGGGAACAGTAAAGCTGCAAACTACCACTGCTTATAGGAAGTCTATTGGTTATGGCCAAAACACTGAAGAATCAGGAACAGTGGATATGTTCCAATGGTTTTCCAATAGCTAAATGAGTTAGTTAATTGTGCCAACCTGGCCGATAATCACATGTGGGGCTAATTGAAAGGCGGAGGGATAAATGGGTGGTGAGCTTCGCCTTTCTAGTTCTCGGGTCTCTTGCTTTGTGATGGTCTCACCAGGGTGCAGCTGCCTTAGCAGTTCCCTGCTTCAGCTTGCAAGACTGACTTCCTACAAGACATCCCCAAGGAGAAGCCACATGGACTTGTCCCGATGCAGCCCTGGGTGCTGGAGCAGCCGTGTGGAGACCCCTGCTAGTGCTGAGATGCTTATTCGTTCACTGACTCAGCTTTCCTCCTGCAGTCGGCATCATTGCCTCTGTTTCATGAGGTGGAGGACTTTGTGTACTGGTGTTGGGTTAATGTTGGACTTGTGGGCTTGGGCAGCATTGGGTTGGGATGTTTTCATGATGCACACTTTCTTTACATAAAACTGTCTTATACATGAGTTGCTGTGGATTTGTTTCTCTAAAGTACCTAGACTAATACACTAAAGAAGCTGAGGGTTGTTTCTGGGGAGTTGAAATTAGGGATGGGGAAAGGTGGAGGAGGGATAGCTACCATGTTTCTTTCTAAGGCTTACTTTCACTATGTACATTTCTTGATGCAAATTTAAAACCAAGTTTTAAAAATGAGAGAAGTAAAGAATAGTACAAGTGGGAGGAATTTCATTAAATGTTTGAAAAGCCACGGAAAATGATTTTTAAAGGTTTTTCATGTTAAACATGAAAATAAAAAATATTCAAAGCTCCCAAGACCTTGCAAAAGTGTAAATTAAATCGCAAAATCAAAACTCACTGCCATCAAATTGACCGACTCATAGCAAACCTACAAATTACCATAGATCTGAAAATTTTCAAAAAAAGCATTATCTTTATATACAATAGTAATTCAGTCCAGATCTTGATTAAAATAAAAACTATAATTAAATTACCTTGGAGGTTGAATTTTGAATTTTTCAAAGACTTCCGGATAAAGTAATGGAAAAACCACCATCTCTTTGAGAGCTGCAATATGATTAGACAGGCCACCCACAGTATCAAACCGTACCTGGTAAGAGAGGGGCAACATTGGCATTCTTAGATGTGAAATCAAAATTAAAATGTCATCCAGCCCCAAATTCTGTCTAACTCATACAGAGTCAACTCATGAATACTAGTTTGGGCCTGAAGTTAAGACAAGAAGTAAGAAAGTCTTATGAAGGTTCAACTTTCTAACAAAAAAACAAACAACCCATCCACAACAGGTCTCCTTTTAATGTTAAAACTAACAAGAACGAATTAGCAATATTGTAGCTCAAGCAATATACATTTCAAAAACAATACTCACTGAAGAATCTAGTTGCATTGGATCGACATCAGCAAGGCTTGCTCCAATTTTCATTCGATCTTTATAAATTCCTTTCAATTCCTCTTTCCGAAAATTGAGTGGAAGGCACCTACTGAAAAAGAACTTTTTAAAAATAAATAAAACACCCATCAATTCCCTCTCTGTTCCCCAATTCTATGTTAGATTATGAACATTTTCTTGTAGGAATTTTAAAAAATCTGAGCTGAAGCAATCTTGTGTATGCATTTCAACTTCACTTTATTTGTAGGTGAGAAAACTGAGGCCCAGAAGTGTTACAAATGAAAATCTGTTAACAAGATGTCCTGAGTACCCTTAAGTAACCTACAGTGGAGAACTCACAGTGACAAAACATATGCTAATGGCCCCATCTAATATACTCGTATAGTGTTTACCATTTTCCAGACATTGCGTTGTGCTTTACATCTAATAAATTCTCAAGTCTAAGGGGTAGGTACTATTATGTTCCCTATTTAAAAGAAGATTGGGGCACAAAGAGATTCACTAATTTTCCCAAGGTCTCACAGTTAAGTAGCAGAACCCTGACGTATACGAGTACTTCTGCAGGCCAAGCTGGCTCTAGACTTTTAACAACTCTGCTACACTGCCCTTCAGCCAGATCTTGAGGACCCACCAGCACCTAGATCCATCCACATCAATTCCACAAGAATGCTTAACTACTTTCCAAACCAGTATGGTAGGTTATTACAAAGAACACACCTAGAAGAACCAGCTCACTCTATATATAAAAAAGGAAAACCAGTATGTGAGAGGCTAGAAAGTCTAAGCATGACTGTAGTGACTGAGCATTAGTGAAAGCATGCCCAGCTGATCACAGTGACAATTTCTGCTGGCCCCAGATGTCAAGGAATTTCTACAGTAAAATCATTTGATTGACAAGTTTTCAATTTTGGTTTTTAAAAGGGTGTTTCTTAAAGAATTCATGATAAAAGTATAACTACACAATAATAACACATAGGATTAACTTCAAATATACAGCTAAACCCCCCAAAATCAAAGCCATTGCCATGTGTTGATCCCAACTCAAATGACCCTACAAGGCAGAATCTGACTGCCCTGTAAATTTCCTTAGCCTGCATCTTTATAGAGGCAGATGGCTACATCTTTATTCCACAGAGAAGCTGGAGGGTTCAAGCTGGTGACTTGTCAGTTAGCAGCTGAGTGCTTCATCATCACTACACTACCAAGGCTCAGAGTAATCAAAGCACAGAGCGCTCAGGTAATCCAATTCTTGTCTGTCCAATAGGAAAAAGCTGCAAGTCACAAATACAATCTTAAATTTCTTATTAGTCACATAAAAAATGAAATAAATCTTAATAATGTATTGTTTTTATCCTAATATCTAAAATATTATCATCTTAATTAGTGTATATATTTTAAATTGAGGTTTTTTCCCTTTTTTAAGAAAAGCAAGGTTTTTGAGATATAAGTTTGTTTTTGCACTTACTAATCAAAACACCCAAACTCACTGCCATCGAGTTGATTCAAAACCTGTGGGTTTCAGAAAATTTCATCTTTCTCCTGAGGAGCGGCTGGTGGTTTCAAACAGCTGACCTTGTGGGTAGCAGCCCAACATGTAACCACTATGCCCCCAAAGCTCCTACTTTTGCACTTAGAGCACAACTCAGTTTAAACTAGCCACACCGTGAGTGTTCAAGCCACATGTGAACCAAGCAGCCCTCACATGATACATGACAGAGCTCAGCTGGTTTGAATACCCCTGGAACGTTCCAATTGCTTCATCACGGACTGTGCTCTGATTCCATTTCATCACTAGGATTTATCACCCACATCTATAAAGTGGGAAATCATCCTTTCCCTGTTCATTTCATTATTATTGAGAAAATCATATGAATTGGTTAATAAACATGGGTTTAACAATGGAAGTATAAAAACAGTTATTAAATTAGTCAACTCTAGTTTTCCTCAAGAGTTCTAAAATTAGAATGTGCTATAACTGGGGGGGAAATTGAACAGAAAAAAACAAAAAAGCAAACAAAATCATTTATTTCCTCGTTTCAATGTTTATACAGCAGTCTAAGTTCAGTAATGGTCTCCAAAGAAAACTTGACCAGGGTCGAACCTATTCTTTAATTTCAGCTATAGGTATTTACCACAAGACAACACACTTATCTAAAATGATCCTATTAACCAACCTGTGCACATTCCCAAATTCTCCAATTTTCTCAGCAATTTAAAGCACAAATGTGGTTAGTGTACAAAGGCCTCAGCATCGTACTTGCCTGCTGATGGCTCTGTTACGGCTCCTTTTCCTGCGCCTCTCGAAGTGCTGCTCATCATCAGAAGAGGAAGAGGAAGTCGAGTCACTACTGTGGATTGCATGCCTTCGTCTACCGAGAGGAGGAAAGTGTCTGATGTCATGATGAGGAAAGATGTGGGGAAAAGGGCCCTAAGAGCCAAACATCAGTAAAACCCAGTGCTCCCAAAATCAAAACATCTGCCCAGTCACTAAAATTGCTTTTGAGGTTGACTCTTTTGAAGGGAACAAGAGATCTGGATACTGAGAAGTAGAGGCAAAATGACTGTAGGCTGCAGTAAGACTGGCCATCAAATGTTCATTAAGTTACTCTTAAGGAGAATGGCTGGGAAAAGATTATTACTCAACTGTCAATTCCTGACTTGGCACGCAAGCAGCTGTGTGAATGTGAATGTGAACGTGCTCCCCAACCCAGATGAGCCTCAGTATTCTCACTCACACAAAAAAAGGATAAAAATACTATCAAATTCTTGGGTCATTTGGTAGTATTAGAAAGATGTCAAGTGTTAAAATGAAATAAAATAATTTCTACCTTTGGCCAATAACAAAAGACCCGTCAAGTCCAAACCAAACCCATTGCATCAAGCTGATTTTGACTCAGAGCAACCTTAGAGGTTACCTATTTATCTGTAAATCATTTCGGAAGCACATGGCCACATCTTTCTCCTGTGGAGTGGCTGATGGGTTTGAACCACAGACCATGTGGCTAGAAGACCAATGCTTCTTCCCTAATGGCACCACCAGGATTCCTTAGAAGTCCCAGGGGAATGAGGGGGAAATAAAGTGGCAGGAAAAACTCTTTATCATCCATTTATTAGCTCAGGGTCCAGAGCTTTCCCTGAGTCAGAGTATAGTTATGTTAAAAGTAGGCGTTTCCAAAAATATTAAAAGTTCACAATCCATTAACGTAGGTGCAGAATTCTATCTAAAAAAAAAAAATTAAAAAAAGAATTCTATACCTAAAAACTCTGAGGGGGGGGGAAAGTATTCCCAATTAGCAGCAAAACATAACCTGAATTCTTGTTGAAGTAATTGATTGTTGCTATTTATCTCACTTACTATGATTATTCATACATTTTGATAAAGCATTATCAGTGTGTTTGACTTACGTGTCCCATACATTCTGGAGATAATAATATTACATACTATGTATGCAATGTTATTACTGTAAATCTTTATCAAAACAACAAAACATCTGAATTCTGTAAAACAGATGGTCCCAAGAGTTTTGGGTAAGAAGTGTGGAAACACACATATAAATGCTTAAATAATCCTCCACCCACCTACCCACTCAAACATACCAAATACCACTGCTGTGACAATCCTAAATTTTTATATGACAAGTTAACTTGTTTAATATTACCATTATGACAGGGTTTTAATTTCTTTATCTATTTACACAATTAAAGACTAGCTTTATACAATTGATAAAAGGAATGGATATTTCCCCGAGTGTTTCATGTATCAGCTGCCTGGCATATGATCTCATTTAATCCTAATAACAACTCTGCACCAGTACCTATTAGTAACTCATTTTACAGTCGAGGGGCTCATAGTTTAAATGCTTTGTTAAAATATTAGTCTGGCCTATTCTAATTCTATTTCAATAGCTAGCTAGCTGTCTATTCCAAGAATCCGCATTTTATATATGACTATACTAGTGATTTTCAGTTGTTTATTTCACAAACTACTACTGTTGTTATAAGGAAACGTTAACAAAATCTTGTGCACTGATATTAGATTTCCAATGATTGATTTGCAAAGTAAGGATTTTTAAACAACATCAAAGAGAGGGGCTTAAAAATTTCCTGGAATAGCTATTATTACTTTTAATTAAGAAAAGGTTTTCACACCTAAAGAAATAGACTTTGATGGTGACCAGGGGTAGGAGGGGCAAGGAGGAAAGGGAAAGTTTTAGGTTAGAGGGTAGACAGGTGTTAACCTGGGTGAAAGGGGCAATAACATCCAACAAGCGGAAGATGAGGAAGAAAAAGGTTGGGGTTGGGGAGTTGGGGGAAGAAACAGGGACAGTTTGATAAGCTGCTTAAATGAAATGGAAAAAAAAATCTTTTGAATGAAAAAAAGGTGACGTGATACGTAAACTCCCACCTAATCCACACACAAAAAAATTCATGGTAAAATTCCCTTATCTTTGAACTCTATATTTCCATGAACTTTTTGAAGCATCCTTACATACTTAACTCAAAAACCAAACCCATTGTACTCAAATTGGTTCTAACTCCTTTAGGTTAGCAGCTGAGTACTTAATCACTGTGCCACTTACGAAGGCAATTGTGTACACTAGAGACTGTTTGAAATGCTTAACACACATCAACTTGTCGAATTCTCAAACTATTATGAGACAACTTGCAAAAAGTCATTAAAAAGAGAGGCAGAGGCAAGCTCTGAGCCAAGGCAGGACTAGCCCTCGGTTCATGTTCTTAACAATTATTCCACAGTGTAGGAAGGCCATTATTCTTATTTTTAAAAAGACTCTAAACTCATATATACATTCTATTCATCTATACTAACAGCCAGTGAAAAATTGAGCAGGGATAAGCACTGGACTAGGTCTCTGAACCTCACACGGAAGCATCTGGTTACCAGTCCTAGCTCCTTAACAAGCAAGCCCATCAAAAGACAGATACCTATTTTGGAATACTGATGAAGCAAATGGGCTATTATGTTGCCTTATTATCCAAAAGGGCTAAATTTGGCCCAGAGATTACAAATTTGAAGCCAAACAATAAACCTTAAATTACAAGAGACTAGCAACCAGATGGAAGAGAATCCTGCATAAAAGCAGCACTTCAAAAGGAAGGGAGACCCTGCACTGTGGCTGCAGGGTTTCTGGATCATTTGCCACGAATACTAAGAGCAATGCTCAAATGATTCTTTGGACATACATTTTTGTCCCCGTGCCTAGGTAGTTCAGGTAGCTGGTCTCATGGAGAAAAAGTAAAATCGCTAAGCAAAATGACTACCATTATTAGGTTGTTGGCAAGAATGTTTAAAATAATTTTTAAAGGGCTATAATAAAAAAGTCAGATAATAACAAGAGATGCTGAAGATATGAAGCAAATTGAGTTCTCATACATTACAGGAAAAAGAGCTGGGCAGTTCCTTAACACCACGTTAAACAGAGTTTGGCCCAGGAACTCCACTCCTAGTATATACCCAAAAGGGGAAAACACACAAATGTCCACACAAAAACGTGTACATGAATGTGAACAGCAGCACTATCCATAATAGCCCATAGCAGAAACAGCCCAAATGTCTATTAGCTGATGAATGGTTCAATAAACTGTGGAACACAGAATACAATGAATGGAACATTGCTTGAAAACCAAAAGGAATGGAACACATTAAGTCCCAAGTAGGATCCACCCTTTAGTATATCTTTAAGTCAAACTTGTAGGTAAATTGGATTAAATGCATATAGTTCTTATTTAGGGCAATGAACGCGAACTCTTGTGGCACAAAGGTTAAAGCACACTGCGGCCAACAAATGGTTGGCAGTTTGAGCCCACCGGTTGCTCTGCAAGAGAAAGATATGGCAGCCTTCTTCCGTAAAGCAGACAGGGAAACACCTGTTCTATATTGAAAGTACCAGGGACTGTTAAAAGGAAAAACAGATCTGAATTGGAAGAAGTAAGGTCAGAGTGCTCATTAGAGGCAAGGATAGCAAGACTTCATCTTACATACACTGGACACACTGTCAGGAGAAACCAGTCTCTGGAGAAGGGCACTGTGTTCGGTAGGGTAGAGGGGCGGTGAAAAAGAAGGCAGCCCTGGACAAGATGAATCAACACTGGCTGCATCAATGGGCTCAGGTGTAGGAACAACTTTGAGGCTGGTGCAGGACCATGCAGTGTTTCGTTCTGTTGTGCATAGGGTCGCTAGAGGTTGGAGACCACAAATGGCAGTTAAAAACAATAATAATGACAGTTCTGTCCCATAACATCACTCACTATAAAGTGGAATCAACTCCACAGCAGTGGGTGGTTTGGTTTGATTCGCTAGGTCTGAAGCCTTTTCAAAGTTAAAAGCTGAATATGCAGCTAGTGAAGGCAATTGTGATGAAAAAACATGTTAGTTCAATCGTTTCAAAGGGAGGGCAAATTTACATGACATTAAATAGCAAATAGGAGTTGTCTACTAAGTCTGACATTTGTCATCCCAGGACTGCCTTGTATTCCGCTACAGATATCGTTGAAAACACTTTAAGTGAAAGAAGCTACACACAAAAGATTCTATTCATAAGAAATATTTAAAATAGGCAAATTTATAGTGGTTACTTAGGGCTAAAAAGATGGAGGGGTTTGGGGGATAACTGAAGAGTTCAGGGTTTCTTTCTGAAGAGATGAGCTTTTTCTCAAATAGGCAAACAGGCTGTAGTGTTGTTTACACAACCCCGTGAGTATATGAAAAGCTACGGAATTGTCCACTTTCAGTGTGTGGACTATAAAAGTATGTGAATTATCTCTTAATATAGCTCCTGTTAACAAGCACAGAACCAAAGTTCAGAGGGCAACAAAATCAACAACAGAGGATCATCAGGTCAAAGAATGTGACCTGTTTCTACTTCAACCAACATGTGTGGGAGTTTTTCATTAGCTTATGAGATGATGTGCAGGATCTGGTTAGTTCTTGAACTTGGCACACAGTAGGATACGGAACATTTGTTACAGTATTGCAACTAAGAACCCTCTGCAAGATAGAAAGTAGTTATGCAGGTGGTCAATGAACAGGCATGCTACTTTCAGAAGCATAAATCAAGTAATGATGGAAGAACTGAAATCTCAGAGTAACAGCCTCTCACTTCTACTGACTCTACTTTATCATGGTCAGCCCTGTCAGTTTGTCTTCTCAATCCTCCACCTTTCTCAGCTTCTGCAGAGCTTTCCATCAAGAAGAAATCTAGAATGTACACTGTGATTTTGACAGTTTGAAAATAAAATTAAGCATCTCAGTTTAGTCATAGTAATACTAGGGACACAAACACTGTTTCATATTTTGTTAGAAAAGGTGAATCTGTCAACACTTCACATCACAGCAGGATTGGACACTCTGCTGCTTTGATGACCTACTTACAGGAGTTATTCAAGACGTCAGTCTTATTTCTGGGCAAATAAATAGTATTGTTAGGGAAAAAGTAAAATTTCCCATACCAAGGTCATTTTTTCTCTGTTTTAATCTTCACCAACAAGCTCTGTCATTCATCAACTACCACAGTGCTACTGTTACCCTGACGGTTCTAATGCCTCAGAAAACATTCCATTACTCAGGAGACTGAGGAAGTAACCAGGGAAGTTCCTTCTTTGAGCTTAGATTTGTATAAACAACTCCAACCAATAAGTGGGCGTAAGAGGAAAAGAAACACATGAATAATTTGAGTATTCAATGAAAATGTCTGTGACAGTATGTGAAGACAAGACTAAATCTATACTCTTAATTTACTGTGAGGATGAAACAAGTCTATATAAATGCTTAACAAAGAATCAGGAGTACAACAAATACTAAATAAATGAAAGCTCTGTTACTAAGAACGTAGATCAATGGAACACACTAAGGTATTACCATGATATTTACTAACACTTCCTATTAGTGGAAGCAAAAGCAAAAATAAATCTATGAAAATAGGAGTTAGAACACTATAAGTATAGAGCTAAATTATCCAAAATGTAAAATTCTAGAATTCTCTATTAATATTTTCTAAAACTCTTAAAACTCTACCCTAAAATAGCCACACTTATGTTTTCATAAATAAATCACTATTTCAGACCCAAACCTGTTGGTGCGTTTACAATAAGGACTTCTGGGTCCCGTAGAAGACAGTCGATATCTTGGTCTTGCAGGAGAAGCAGGGCCACTATAAAATATGTTGGGCTTTCTTTGATGACGAGGTTCTATTAAAAAAAAAAAAGATATCTGCTTGAAATGCAAGTATATGTGAAGGTATTTTTACTCTTCATCAGGATACTTACAAAGGCCTTCCATGAAACTACTACTAAATATCTACTAGATTATTTTACTGCTCATGTTTTAAACCTCTATGTCTGCAGGGCTGCTGTTGAAAATAAGTACAATATAGATATTAACTCAAACACACAATGGCCACAACCATTATGATAGTACTTGGTGCCTAACAAGTGATTTTTCAGTCATGATTGTCTATGGTTCACAAGCACTGAGTTATAATGGTAATATAAATCAAAATCAGTTCTAGCTGGACAAACTGACAAATAGCCTAAATTAGAAAGCTGTGGAATCTAAAATATTTAATGGCAGGCATATAAAATTTCAAAATAACCCAATTACTTGCTTTAGTCAAGACTGCCATTTTTAACTTTCTCTGGAAGAAATAACTTCATGCAATTTTACGCTAGGTTTAGCAGACAACAGCTATGAATATTTGACAGTACCCTAATATAAAAATACTGGACACCAAGAAAGAATCAAAGAAGAGGGACAGTTAGGACAATGCTAATAAAACAATTAACATCATCTCCTAGAAAAAATGATATACACACTTACTTTCCAATGGAGCTTGGTAGTAAACAGTAGTTTTTCTCTGTCTGAGGTAATATCGTTTCTGATTATCTTCTTCTCCATCCTCTTCATCATCTTCTTCTTCTTCATCATCTTCACCATCATCATCATCTTCACCATCATCTTCATCTTCTTGGTCTTCACCCTCTTCAGAAGATTCTACAATTGAGAAATACTTACTTCCAAAAGGATAGTCATCAAAACACCAGCAATTTTTAACAGAGATGAGTGGGGCAGTGTCTCATCTATCTATTTATCTTTTAGATTGTTCATAGAATCTCTAGTTCTTTTACAATGTCAAATGAAGATTTAGAAAAAAAACCTAAATTTCTTCGCCACATTTGCTTATGCACCCATTTGTCTTCAGTGATCCCGTGCCCGGCTATCAAAAAGTATAGCGTCTGGGGTCTTAAAGGCTTGAAGGTAATCAAGCGGCCAACAAGCTCAGAAGCAACAAAGCCCACATGGAAGAAGCACACCAGCCTATGCAA